AAGGTGATAAAACTGTAAATGGTAGTTTTTGTTGGATTTTATCAATAGACCATGTTGTAAGGAAGAGAGACTCTCTTAAGGAGGTTCAAGCAACTCTTAAATAAAAAGAGTTAAACCAAAAGTTTGATGGGTAGGTGTATAACACTGAAGATGGCTTAGTAGAAAGTATCACATTATAGTATATAAATATGACCTAGTATAATTTATGAACATATATAGAATTCATTTTTACTTTAGAGTTTTCTCTATATTTTCTTTACATTTTTTTTGGTTATTGACTTTTCAATTTCTTAATCATCTTTAATTTTGTTTGATTCATATTTACTTCATCTGTTTTTCTATGGCTTTATAAATTCCTAACATTAATTTTCTCATTTAATCTTTGAATTGATATTTGATTTGAATTTATTTGGTTGATTTAGGTCAATTATATCATGAATTAATATTAAGCTAATGTTTTTGTTTTTCTTGTGGTTGAATAATGCTTCTAGATCAAGTTGTATGTGATAAATTAATTAAACTCAATTATTTAAGATATTAATTTATATAAATTAATATTAATTAAACTCAAAGGATTCATTATAAAAAAATCATTTTAGCTGACCGAAAAATTCTATCGCTAATGTCAAAAAATCGATCGCTAATCAATTAGCGATCGAAATTAGCAACCTAAATGCTGCTCATCACAAAAGGACAAATCGCTAATGTGTTAGCAACCGATTTTAATTTCTAGCGTAAAATAACGATTGAAATTAATATATTAAATCGATCGCTAAATCTATGGTAAAGTTAAAAAAATAACGATCGATTTAAATCGATCATTAAATCAATGACAAAGTTAATTATTTTTATTTATCTAAAGACTCCTCTACCTCCTTTTATATTATATTTTTATTATTCATTACATTTTATATAAGTTTGATTTATTACCATGATTATTGTCATTACATTATATATTTATACATTTATATCTTTATATATTTATATTTATATATATTAAGAAAAAATTTAAAATATAAATATGAAATATTAAAAATAATATTATATTTTTAAAAACAAATATTAGAAAAAGATTTAAAAACATGTATAAATTATATTTACATGTCCAAAATATTAAAGATATCCACATTTAAAAAAATACTAAAAAATATTAAAAAATTATACTTTAAATTGATTAAAATATTTAAAAAAAGTTATATTTATTAAAGTATTAAAAAATATTTTGTAATATATAAGTTAAAAAAATTATCATTAAAATTTTTAAAAATTATTAGTTTTGTAATTTATACACAATGAAAATAAATTACAAATATTATAATATAATGGTATATTAGTATAATATAGTATATTTGTATTCTAATTTTTAATTAAACTAAAATTACGCTAATAATGTATAATAATATATGAGGGGATAATAAATTTAATCAAATTACTTATATATATATATATATATATATATATATATATATATATCCTTTTTTAACTTTTTTTTCTTTTTATACTTCTCACTCGTTAGATATTGTTTAGATATTATTTAATATTGTTAAGATATTGTTAGATATTAACCATAATATCAAATCATAT